TGTGTTTGAAAGTAATCGAGATTGAATCAAAAAGTCCACATACAATGCAATTCTGACAAAACGAACGTTATCTTTGTGATTCATAATGGATGATAAAACTTACAGAATTTAGATACTCTATCATAGCAAATAGATCGGAAATATTTCCAGTCCCTTTGGAACCTTCATCGGATTTCCGGAGGATGTTTAAGCTTCATTTTACATTGAGCAGTTTTCCTGTGGAATCATATAAGTTCAGAACATCTCTCACCTATGCTGACTGCGAACGGCATCCGAAGGGAGGTGTGAGCACTGTTTTGAATTAGGAAATATTTTTGGATCAACTGCAAAATTGGACAGTGTGCGTGAACTGAATTCGCGGAAATTTGACAATCGAAATTCGATCAGAACTAGTCGAAACTTCTCAGTTTAATAATATCAGAAGCTTTTGTGATTTTGTTGCACAAGGAGTGTTCACAGTGTTTTTCCTCTTTGAGAGCTTTTTTTCTGAAGCTTGGTGATACGCTAATTTCATAATATGTTATCCGGCTTTTTCTTCGCGAGCATAATACAATCAACACGAATGGCTAGCTTAATCGCTAACCTAGCCAAATCCGGTAATTTCCGAGCTGAATCTGATAGTTTAAGAAAAAAATCGGTGTTCGGATTTCCTGACCTGAACTGTTTTATCATTCAGAAGAAAATACAGAAGAAAATACTTATCTGTGTTGACTGACAATTACAATGGTGCCATCAAACATTCACCTGTATTATTTTTCATTAACAAAAAGACAAAAAGTCGATCAATGCTTTTCCTGGATCCAACATGCACCGTCTCGCGATCGGAAGCATTTGACCTTTTTGTAAATTGATTACTGTCTTAACTGAGATATTTCTTGAGAAAAACTGTGAAAAATAAAAGACCTCCTTCCTTGTAAATAAAAACATGTGAAGACAAAAATGTTGACTTTTGGCGGCAGAAAACTTCAATTTTTACTATATACCCGTTTCTGTGGTCGAATCTTTTGGCGATCTCACTAATTTCATTACTCATGTACAAACATGTCATCACCACGGGACAAAAAAGAGTCTGTAGCAGAAGCCGAAAATGGGCACGTACGTATCATGTTACTATTTGTTTTTCCCATAAAAGAAAATTTTTAACTACATAGCAGGTTTTATCCGATGATATTTTCTTGTTTTGGGCATCGGGAAGTTTGCCTTGTTGGCGTGTTCAAATTGTTCTTGAAGAAAAAAATCTCAATGGTTATAAAAATAAATTAGTTTCATTAGATCGAAATGAGCATAAATCTGGAGCAGTTTTAAAACAAAATCCTCGTGGACAAGTGAGTTTTGAGCTTGAAAGTTACCTATAGTTCACACTAACAGCATGACTTTTTTTCAGGTGCCATCGTTGAATTTTCGAAGCGTGGTATTAAATGAATCAATGGCAACATGCATATTCTTAGACGTAATATTAAAAAACTCGTCAGTGAGCTCATAAAAGTTCCTTTTCTTTTCAGAGCTCAAAGAAACACGAAGGAACACGACTAATTCCTGAAGAACACAGACTACAAGCAAGAGTATTACAACTTACATTTGATGTAAGTAAGAGCACAAACGTAAAGTGCCGGAAATGTAAAAGTCGAGCGGTTTTGTTTCTCGTTGAATCATACATGGTTTGATAGAGCTCGTCGAGTAAGAAGTAGATTCAAGAATATCTTCTTCTTAATTTTTTTAAGACCGTGTTTTAAGTAAGAAATTTTTAAAATACAAGTTACCGATCAAAAAGTGAAAATATGACCAAGTTCGAAAAAATTCAAGATTTTGCCTGTTTACACTGATTGAAATTTTCTGAAACCATTCTATTTGGATTCAGCATCAAAAACTGAGTACATCTACGTAAAGACGAGAGAATTTCATCACAACCCTCGTCCTCAGTAAGCTCGACTAGGATCGGTAAGGGGCAAAGTGACACCCTGTTCTCGCAAACCTATGTAGTCTATTGCCTGAAGAGCTTTCCCCGATATTCATATATCATTCGAATCATCCATAGATAGCGAATAATCGTTGGTATCGGTTATGAAAAAGTTTATTTCCTCGCCGAGAAAAGTCGACTTTACTAGGAAAAATCGAAATTCTGCACCTAATTCGCAATTTTCTCTGTCAGAACTCAGCTTTTACGTAATGAAAATATTATATTCGGAATCAACAGCAAAAATCGAGTTGAATAATACATATTTCAAAATTTTTCGTTGATTTTCATTTTTTGACGAAAATCTCAGTAATTATTC